GTGGGGAGCCTGATGCAGGGCTCAGTCTCATGAACCTGAGATCATGACCTGAGCTGAAACCAAGAGTCAGGTGCTTAACCCACTGAGCCACCCAGTGCCCCTATTTGGCTCTTTTAAAAGATTTATCATTTAGGTTTTTATAAACCCTCCCAGAATTTTTACAATAAGCAATCATTAACCTAAGATCAAAACAAAATATTAGAGAACTTAAGGAATCATTAGAATTCATAACTTAGTAAAAGTTTGGACAAATGTATAATGACATGTATCCATCGTTATGGCATCGCATAGGGTATTTTTATTTCCCTAAAAATCCTCTGTGATTCCCCTATTCATACCTTCCTCCCAGTCTCATGGCAACCACTAATCTTTTTAATGTCTCCATAGTTTTTCCTTTCCTAGAATGTCATATAGTTGGGACATACAGTATAGAGTCTTTTCTGATTGGCTTCTTTCATTTAGTAGTATGTGTTTAAGGTTCCCCTGTGTCTTTTCATGCTTGATAGCTCATTTCTTTTTTAGGGATGAATCATATTCCACTGTCTAGATGTGTGACAGTGTAAATATCCATTCACTTACTGAAGGACATCTTGGTTGCTTCCAAATTTGGCAATTATGAATAAAGCTGCTATCAATATTCGTGTCAGGTTTTTGTATGAACATGTTTTCAACACCTTTGAGTAAATACCAATTGCTGCATATGACAGATCTACTTTTAATTTTTTTATGACTCTCCATACTGTTTTCTATATGGCTGTGCCAATAGAAGTGTGTGGCTCTTTTTTTTTTTAAATCAAGAGTTTAAGAGTTATTTTATTTTTTATTTTTATATATTTTTTAAAGAATACAAATAGAAGTTTATTATACAAAATTGAGTCCTTCATATTTCATAGTTCATGAAGGCTAAACAAAGACTAGGTTTTTTTTAAATCATTCACAAAAATTTCACTTTCACTCCCCCTCATCCCAACTATTAAAAAATGGCCTGACCAAATGTTATCAAAACAAACACTATAAATAACACCAAGTGCTTTAAAGACAACTCTCCCATATGTTATTTCTTGGTATAGGTGATCTTCATGGCATGTGACGGTGTGATTTTAAATCCCTGTAAAGCATCCCTGGCAGCTCCAGCCTGTCCATCATTTTCAAATTCAACAAAAGCAATGTCATGCCTCCCAGGTACCAAACGTATTTCCTTGAAGCCAGGAAACTGATTAAATAGCATGGATAACATCATCTCATTAGTCTCTTCTGGTAAATTATTGAGGAATAAAATATAGTTTGGAGGGTAATCAGGGACCTGAGGATTTGGTGTTGAATTTCCTTGGGTATTTGCTGCATTTGGTGTTCCCTGACCAGGCTTTTTGTTTGCAGTGGTTGCAGTCTGTTCCACAGTTTTCGCTTTTTTCTTTTCCTTCTTCTTTTCTTCGTCAGCAAAAGTGCCACGCATTTTAGATATTATATCCGAATCTGTTTTTGCATACTAGATTCGCATTGGTTTACCATAAAATGGAAATCCTTGTAACTGTCTCAAGGCATTTGTGGATGAGCCCAGTTCCTTAAAAATAACAAAGGCTTGCCCCCTCATCTTCATGGTCTTAAAGCTACAATATCTACAACGTGGCCAAACTGAGAAAACAGGGCATACAGGGATCTCTTCAACTCTTCTTTTTTAATTTTGTCATTCATATTGTTGATGTAAATTGTATGATTTGGTCTGATATCCATGTTTGGAGTTAAACTGTTCAAACTGCCTGAGGCCTACGTTGGTCCCCTATTTTTATATTTTTTAAGATTTTATTTTTTATTTATTTGACAGAGAGTAAGAGAGAGAGAGAGCACAAGTAGGGGGGAGAGGCAGAAGGAGAGGGAGAAGGAGAAGTACAGTCCCCACCGAGCAGGGAGCCTGATGTGAGGCTGGATCCCAGGACCCTGGGATCATGACCTGAGCTGAAGGCAGATGTTTAACCGACTGAGCCACCCAGGCGCCCCTTAAGAGTTATTTCATTTAGTTTCTAAGCTTATGGGATTTATTGAAGGTATCTTTTTGTTAAGGTTTCTAATTTTATTGTGAAATGGTGGAGTACATAGTTTGTATGCTGTTGATTTTTGGGAATTTATTGAAGTTTCTTTGTAAGTTAAGTCATGATCTATTTCTGTAACTGTTTCAAGTATGCTTGAAAAGAATCTCTTTTTCCCCATAGCTTAATTTCCACATTCATGAAACAGGAAGAACTGAAAATGTCTGACTCCTTTGATTTTTGTTTTGAAATCTGCAGAACTAAAAGACCAGATTGAAAGACAGAAAAATACTACATTTGTTCTTTTTGACTCTTTATTTTGCAAACTAACAATGAGTATACAACTTGACACAACTAAACACAGTAGGGGAAAGAGAAAAAGGAAAATATCTGTCCTTCCTGAAAATAGATTTGTTACCACTGGGTAACAGGTGCTTAATCCTCTGTGGGGGCACATTTCCAGCCTACAGACAGGGAATAAACAGAGTGGAGGAGTAATCATCTGTGATAGTGATTCTGATCTGTGTTTGACTTTTTAGGCTGCTGTCCTTAGATATTTGTATTAGTGAAGCTGAACCTCTGGCGTGCTGCTCAGAAGTATCATTGTATGGTAATTAGTGGGGTGGTGATCCTGCAATGAGCTGACTGAGGGCAGTTGGCTAGTCAACCAGTCAGCCTAGTTGCTTTGGGGGCAACATGAATGCTCATCTAAATTTGCCATTGGAAGAGGAATTTAATGATCAGGGGCTTTCAGTCAGATCCTTAATAGCCAACCTCTTAGGTTGCTCACCATCTGGACTCCATGGCCCTCTGCTCCTGCACTAACTCTTCTCTTGCTGCCTCTTACACTCTTTTCTTCTCTTCTGTGAACTCTCATGGAACTCATTGTTGGCTCCCTGGACTCATCATCAATGTCTCCTTCTAGTTTCCAGAAGATCTCAAGCCTTTCCAAATAGAACATGTCATTAGGAAGTGTTTTAAGCTAGGTAGTTTTATATGGGTGTGCTTTGTGCCGTATGTTTCAACTTTAGTATATGTTTGAAAATTATCAAAGTTTATACTTGGAAAAATTACACCGCAAAGTCTGTAACCTCAGCTATTGCTAGTATCGCAAAAGGTCTGCACTTTATCTGGATGAAGGCAGAGAATGTTGCTAATACCTGTCCACATACAAAAGATAAATCTTTCGCAGGAAAGGAAAGCAGTTCCAGAGAAGACAAAAGAAAAAAAGAGGTAGAGAGTGAAGAGAGTACCAGGAACTCAGGAGTATCAAGTGGGAGGTGGCACCAGAATGATTTGTCAATATTTTGGCTGTCGTTAGAACAACAGACTCTTCACCATACATGGCTGTGTGGTAAACTGGGTATTGGAAAGGGCATGAAATTGGAAGGACCTGGTTAGAATTCAGGTTTGGCATATATTAGCTGTGAAATTTTCACTAGGACATTTGTCCACTTTGATTCCACAGTCTTCACATATGTAAAATGCTAATAATAGGGGTGCCTGGGTGGCTTAGTCTGTTAAACGGCTGCCTGGGATGGAGCCCCACATCGGGCTCCCTGCTCAGCGGTGAGCCTGCTTCTCCCTCTCCCTCTGTCTGCCACTCCCCCTGCTTGTGCGCACGCTCTCTCTCTGTCAAATGAATAAAATCTTAAAAAGATAAATGCTAATAATAATAATACTTGCCACCCATTAAAAAATTGTCACTACTGGTATAATAAAATGGTATATTGGTATAGTAACACTTTAAACTGGTTACAAAAATTAGAAGGTTTTGAGGAGGGAGGTTTAGAATTGCTTTCCATTGATTTGCTTACAAAGTTTTTAATCTTCCACTAGAGGTGTTGGTTGAGAGAACCTTTATAGAAATAATGATATTTGAGGTGTTTTTCCTGCAGGTATTCGACTTTCTGCATGTATCACCCAATTGATTTAAAAGTGAATCAATGAATGTGTTTATTGATTGCCCCATTTCATAAAGGAGTTCAGGAATGACCCTCCTTTTGATATTCTTATATGTCTCTATATTTGGATCATGCATTTGTCTTGCTTTCCGAATGAAAAAATGTGGTGAACTCAGCAGGTCACCCCCCAGTAACATCCATTCTCTTTTTAGAATGTCTTTCTGTGCTTCAGAAGCTGGAAAACTCCAAACCACATGCTCCAGACACCCTTGCTGCAAATGTTCTGCATTTGAAATAGGTCTCACCAATTGCAAACATCAGAGTAAGATTTGCAGGTGCTGTTTTGATGTTGCTGGCAAATACAGCTGTGGAGACCTTGGGTTTTCCGCAGCAGTGTTTCAATGTCCAGTCACTTGATCTCTCTGTTGAGAAGAGATGGGGATAGGATTTCCCGATTGTGGTCAGTTAGGCAGTGTTGTCTAGGGAGTCATTCTCGGATGCCCAGGCCTCTTCCAGCCTTTCTAATGATTGTGAATATCCCCAATTCCCCGTGACCAATCCTTTTCTTTCCAGAGTAGCTAGCTGGTTGCTGTAACTGAATAATTTACTGACGTATAATCTCTTTGTGGGCAGGAACTCTTGTGATATAAGATATAAACGACCCTGCATTTTAGTGGAGGGAAACAAACGACAGATAATTAAGTAAAAGTTTTAATAAGATGGTGTACATGCTACAGATAAAAACGAAGTTGGAAAAGGGATGGATGGGGAGTGCAGGAGATGAATGTTGCAATTTTAAATAGTGGTCATGGAAGGCTACGCTGATAAGGTGACTTTTGAGACCTAACCATCTATTATGTCAGTTGTGTGCAAGACTGTGGAGTTCCTGTGTTAAAATACTACTTTCCTTAGGTAACACCCTAAGTGATGCTCTTTTCCATCTCCAGGCCGCTTTATTGTTTACCCACAGCAAACATGGCGGAAAAGGCTTCAGTCCGACACTTGTCCCCTCCCCCCAATAATGATGGCTACAGCACTTCCTGTGTTTGCCCTTAAGAAAGATGGAGACAACACTTCCTGTTCAGGGCTTTCGCCTTCAACAAAGATGGTGCTTATGGTACAGGTTCCCTAACAGTCTGGATTCCGGTTGCGGTTTCTTTCTTTCTTTCTTTTTTTTTTTTTAATATACGTGTTTGCAGACGTAAGTAACAGGAAATCAGAAACCCCGTATCCATTTTTTCTCGAAGGCCCCGCAAGGTGGAGTCTGTGGCCTGGGCCCTGCGTGGCTCTCCGCCCCCCCCTAATTTGTTCGCGGCATTTCCGAGCCGGGCCCGGGTTGGGGTGGCGGTAGGGATGCCGGGGGCCGCTACCCCTTCAGTCTGCTCTGAGGATCATTCCCAGCACCCACTTTTTACCTTGTCAGATTGCCCCGAAAATTCCTCCTAGTTCTTCCTGTTCGTAACACAACAGGACTTCAGCTGGTGAGGCAGGGAATAAAAAGCTCCAAACGGGCGTTGGCAGCCAAAAGTGCACACCCTTCCCCTCACCTGCCACCTCCCGGACTTCCCCGAGGGCTGCTCGAAGGAATGGGGTCGGGTCGCCGGCCGGTTGTACTTTCTGTGGGTGCCTGGAAGCCCCATCTGCCGCCTCCCCCGCACTCCCCGCCGCTTCTTTACCGTCACATCCTCCGCACAAGCGCCCTCAAACTCGGGCAGTGGCCTTGAAAACAGGCCTTAAAATCGTGCGTGGCTACTGACCAGGGCTGGCGTGTGGACAATTTTTCCTTGTAAAGAAAAAAAAAAATCCCCACTAAATGTTCCATACATGTGTGATCCGGGCAGTGTTGTGATAGAGTTTCGGGATTCTTAGAGGGCTGGGCTGGATGGAGTCTGTGACCATATATAAGGTTTATTGTAGAGTCACACACAATAAATATTTTTCTTGGAGATGGTAGTGTATAGGGCTTTTCTCTTAGGGGAAAAGAACCTTAACTTAGTGGTACCTACCGGTTTCTGGGCCCACTCCCATTGCTATGCAGGTTCAGCAAATGCCCATGGTCAGAAGGGCACCCTGCATGCTTTATTGGCAATTTCCCTGGTATTGGGGTATGTCTGATGAAGGCTATGTTAAAATAAAGCCACTGTTTCTTTTTAAGTATGTTAAAATGAAAAGCTGCTCTGTAATTTTCAGATCAAAGTTGCTTTTTAAGCAGGGTCCATGGCCCAGTTTTTTCCAAACCTCTTTATCAAGCAAGGAATGGAGCTAGGATTCCATTGTGCGGAAAGCAAAAATAGAAAAGATGATTCGTATTCAGCGTCGTTCATTATGTTCGGAAACATTCAAAATTACTTTGCTTTGGCTTAACAGCTGTGTACCAAACACCATGGCGTGGCACTCTGCTAAGGTTCCAAGTTGTACCTGACCTTAAGGAGCTTGCACCGCATGTAGGACACTGTCTTTAGTGGTTGGTGAGCTCCCTGTAATCTGAGCTACTATTTTGTCTTCTCCCAGGGAGAAATGGAGGCTAGAGACAAGCAAGTGCTTCGCTCCCTTCGCCTGGAGCTGGGTGCGGAGGTACTGGTGGAGGGACTGGTTCTTCAGTATCTTTACCAGGAAGGGGTCCTGACAGAAAACCATGTTCAAGAAATCAAAGCTCAAGCCACAGGCCTCCGGAAAACAATGCTGCTGCTGGATATCCTACCTTCCAGAGGTCCTAAAGCATTTGATGCATTCCTAGATTCCTTGCAGGAATTTCCCTGGGTTAGGGAGAAGCTGGAGAAGGCAAGGGAAGAAGCCATAATTGAGCAGCCTGCAGGTAGGCCTCAAAAAGATCACTGCAAACCAGGTGCAAAATTGTCAAAACTGTGTCCTTTGGATGTGAAGTTGGGGTTTTAGGCTGGGGGTGGGTAAGGAGTTTGGACTGAAGGCACAGCGTGTTGGAGGCGCAGGATGAGGAGGTGGAATTAGGAAGTGCAGGGAAGGAAGAATGAGCCATGATCAAATGGGTGAGGAGGGAGGTCAGAGAATACATTTAGAAAATGCTTCCAGGGAAACTTGGCAAGTCACCTGGGAGGCATGTTCTCATCTGAGAGCCAGGTCATATCTCAGCGCTTGGCATGGGGAGCTATTTGGAAAGTGCAGATGGGAAAGCAGGCTTTAGGCTTACTGATAACTGATTTGTGGGGTGCCAGAGCTGCTGGAAAAGGTCAGCTTCATGAAGGAGGAGACAGCCTCTAGGAAGGCATGCCTTGCACCTGTTCCCTAGGCTATCCTGCATGGCCAAAGGGGATTATTTCGAAAGCTGGTTAAGTAAGTTTTTAAAGGTTATTGATTTAAAGTCGGTCTTTTTTAGTTTGGCTTTGTTCAGACACCCAGAGCATTTACTGTTATAAGAATAGTAGTTTGGGGAGGGTCGCATTTTGATTTTAAAGAAAGTTAGAAGCTATGGAGAAGAGAAACAGTCCCAGTGCTACAAGCCTGGCTTGTAGCAGGAAGAAGATGTGATGTGAAACATTTTCCCTCTTAACTCCATGACTTTTACTGTTTTACAAAGCTGGGGGAGCAGAGAACTGAATTGCCTGAAAAAAAAATCTATAAATAAAATAAAATTAATTAATTAAACAAGAAAATAAAAAAATAAAAAATTGAAAGTTGACTTTGCAAATTTTGGAACAGTTAGGAAATCGACATTCTCCGGAGATTTTGAAAGCAGTGATAGTTAGAACTCCTCTAGGACAGTGGTCCTCAGACTTTGTTGTTGCAGTTTTAAAAATACCAACAAAACTGGTTAAAAAACAAATGCCAGTAGTAAAAGACCAATTTTATTATTTTTGCCCTATGGACCTCATATTTTGTTTTTGTTTTGGGGTTTTCTTTTTCATGGACTGCATATTTTGAATGATTTTTCAGACCACAGTTACTAACTAATCATGATGAATCCTATTTTTATTAATGACATATGTCTGAATATCTGCTCTGCGTGAGGTAACCACTTAACTTAGGAAAGCTTGGTTAAATCCCAGGGGAAAAAAGCAAACACATTTTCATTTTCTAGCATGGCCAAGTTACAGGTAAATGTGTTTTAGGCTTTTTGAAATACTGAAAATAGCCATCCTTAAAAAGCAAACACATTTTCATTTTCTAGCATGGCCAAGTTACAGGTAAATGTGTTTTAGGCTTTTTGAAATACTGAAAATAGCCATCCTTTCCGGGCCCCAGGAATTTTCAAGTTCGAGTGTCCTTACAAAATTAAATACTTCAGGTGTGTGAACAAATCCAAACTAAAGTATCTAAGACATTTCTACCACTTTACTGAAAGCAGAATAAATAACATAGACTGGGGGACACATTAAGAGAAGTATTAGGGTATCCAGTGTCTTTTTCTGGTATTTGACTTAGAGATTCCTCTTGGCACCAGATAGTTGGAAATAACAAAACAAGTGAACCGAAACCCCGTTACTACCAAAATATTTCATTTAATTTTACAATCATTTTGGGTGATGTAACTAGTCCTGTTGTATGTTGTTCATAGAGGTGTGACCCCATTTTAACTTTTTGTTTTATTTAGGGAACAAGAAAAAATTATGATGTTTTTTACCAAATGGTGAAAGTTACATGGAAGTTGAGGGAAAACTAGTTTGTTTTTTAAAGTAAGCAGAATGAAACAGTATAATATGAGGAAAAATTGAGTGTGTCTGCATGAAAAATATTAATTTGTTAGTTCTGTGGAAGTGTTCAAATGGAAGGATAGGTTAGCTACTGTACAAATTTTAAGTACTCTTGTTTTACTTTTTGTCTGAGTAACACGGCTATTGAAAAATGTTTTGAAGAGAGAGTTTGATTTACATATGTTTCTATATACCTTCTGCAATGATAATAACATAAACTTAGTTTTAAAGTAAGTTTTGTTAATTATTGAGTATTTTAAGTAAGATTATAAAATACAAGTAAGGTATAGAGAATAATGGTGCAGTGAACATCTGTCTCCCCATCACTCAGTTTTAAAAAAATATATTACCATTGCCTTTGAGGACCCTGGGTGTTTCTTCTCAGGCCTACCTCAGCCCCAACCCCTACTTACTGGTAAATCCTGAATTTGAAGTTTATCATTCGCTTCTTCACTTTGTAGTTTTCTCCCTCATAAAAATCACTTTTAAAATCCACTTATGGAAAATCTGCAATACCATAAGTTTTAGCAAGATATATAAAGATACAAATAAAAAATATAATGTGTGTGAGAGAATAGGGGATGGAGGAAATGATAGACTTAATTTAATTATTTATTTGGGAAATGATGTATTTTAACAGCCTTCTCTTATTTGGGACCTTAAACTTTCAGTATTTAATTAAGTTGATGGTGATATTTTAATTCTAAAATTCATTGGGAGTTAATTAATTGAAAACCTAAGTTTTTTTTTTTTTTTTTGGAAAATCCTGGAGTGTCAGAGTTGAGATGCCTTCAATTTAATATTTCTGTAAAAAATGCAGATGGATGCAGAGGTCTCTTTCCCAGGAACCCGTGCTTCTCCATTGTTGTAAGAATAATTTTAATGAACTTTTAAAAAGACCATTTAAATTTTTACAAAGGCATTTTTGAATTTTGAGGAACTAAACTATAGGAAGATGTGGTGCTTATGTATTATGTGTATGTTAACCTTGTCTGATCTTTTGCTCATTTTCATTGTCATTATTAATTAATTTGTGTAGATTTGGTGGTCTCCTCTTGGGAGGTCTGAGAACCAATGGGCAGGAATGGCTTTCTCTTTGGTCAAAAGGCCGAAACTTCTCCAAGAATGAGCTGATTTAATTTTATTAAAAAGTGTTCTTGTTTTGGGCTTCTCAGAGAATCCTGGTTTCCTCTTTGCTTGTTTAATTTCTGTGTTTCACTTGTAAATTTTGAGTTGCCTCTACAGGCCCTATTGGTGATAGATCCTACTTAGTTGCTTTTTATTAGAGAAGAATCCAGTTGTATCTTAACCTTCTCTGGTCTCTTAAACTCTACCCCCAACAAATCCCCAAAAATAAAAAAACACCTTAAACCTTTGGTTCTTTCAGAGCCTACCTAGCTGATGGGTCTTCCTATTTATGTTTTTTTTTTAAAAAAGTCTAAGATGTTAATGCATAATTGATTTTGTGTTTTTCTCACCCTGTGAGGACTCTTATATTTTAGAAGAGAAATTCTGGCAATAAAATTACTTAATCCAGCTTGGCACTGCCGAAGGGACACTTCACAGTGTGTCCGTCGCTGGCCAAGGACGCATAATAGACAATAGATCGGCTGGCAGTCGTCTGTGGGCTCCCGTCCGGTCTTTTAGGAGATGAGAACAGTGCTGAGTCTGGGTGTAGGCAGCATGTGCCTACCTGCTTGGCTTTCTACTGCTCATGGGCCCTGTCTGCTGACAGGCTCTCCCTAGTGCCTGAGCTAATCTGGGTCTGGAAAAGAGGTTTATGGCAGCCCTAGTGCCACCAGCTGGTGGGACTTAGCCTAAGTCATGGTGGGAGTGACTCCTGGGCCCCAGGACTCCCTGTTCCACCGTGCTGGCCCTGTTTGTGGGACTGGGTCTCTGCTGTGATTCTCACTTACCAGTCAGCCTGGCAACTTTGCCTTTAATTCCAGTCTTACGTTAGGCTTGGGAGTTTTTTTCTCCCCCCTTCTCTGTAGGCTAGATTCTGGCTTTACGTCCTCTTAGCCACTGGCAAGGATGAAGGACTGATGTCTTGGAACACAGCTCAGTGCCTCATATGTTAGCGTCAGATGCCTGAACACTCTAGCCTCCTGAGGCTCTTTGCTTCAACTTTGCCTCAGCTTCAGCCGGTCCTCACCACGGACCCTATGCCCTGACATTGGCTGCCCTCACTGGTGCAGGATGCAGGGCTAGTCTGTTTTTTCTTCTATCCAAGGGCTCCAGGGCTCAGCCTGTTCCTCTTGGAGCTGGCCTTGTGTGACCATGCAGAGGCACATCAGCTACTATCTCAAGATCTACTCTGGCTCTCAGATGTATACTTGGATGCATCTGAAGTTATGAGCAATAATGGCAAAGACCTTAGGAATTGTTAATAGGTTTACTGGAGAGATTTCTAACCTGGGATTCTCCAGTCATACCATGAATTGGCCCTACTCTGCGTATAATAAGTTCGGTGTTGGTCTCAGTTCATCTAGCTTGTGGTCTCTCCAGGCACTTCTGCTGTGGCTGGGTAGAGTTCACTTTGTGGCATCCTGTGTACTCAAGAGGGAGTGGTGGGTCAGCATCCACGGTAAGACCCTTCCCTGTGGTAAGGGCAGAGTCTGCAGAGAGCCCCAGTGTGATTATCATACGCAGCCTGAGGACCAACTAGATACCAGGCACTAGGAAGTAAAGACATGTGAAAGACCTCCAGATCAATTGAGGGGATTCATTTATTCATTGAGGAAATAATTGAGTATTGACATCAGGTACTAGGATGTTATGGGAAACAAAGCCCCAGCTCTTCTAGAGCTCACCATATGCTGTAGTCTGATGGGAATAGACAGAAGCGAATGGGTGAATACTAGCACTGTGAAGAGTGTCTGGTGGTGAGGAAGGGCTTCGCACATTGTACAGGGTGGTCAGAGAAAGCCTCTCTGCCGTGAGGACGTGGAGCAGAGACCTGAATTCTGCAACAGAGTGGGTACTTGGAGGAGGACCGTTTCAGATAGAGGGGACCACGGAAACACAGGCCCTCTGGTGGGAGCCCTCAGTGACAGTGTGGCTAGAGCCCAGGCCCGTCTGGGATAAGAACCTTCCTCGCGGAGAGCTGAGTCACGCCTCACGTCAGCAAAGGCCCAGTCTTGACCAT